CAAACTGTGCTGGACATAGGAAAATAAAAGCTACAGAATCAGTATGGTCCAGGCTTGATGAGTTGGGGAGAGGCACAAAAGTTACATCAGGTGGCTGCAGAATTCCCATAGCATATTCGGAGGGCTCAAAAGCAAGCACTCTGGGTACTGGGACTCTCCAGGGCCCAGGACGGTTTTGCTGCTGAAAATCCACAGCGGACCATGAGTTGCAGAGAATTCACATGGCATTTTCCCAGCCCTTGAGAGAGACCAGTTGCTCTCCAGCTGTGATGTCCCAGAACAGCCCACGGAACTAAACCAGACAGCCCAAGAGGAAACTTGCCAGGAGCTTCTGCCAAGTTTGGATAAGCTCAGACCTGGACTTTCCTCTAGAAACCACAATGCATTTCTCTTTTGAGAAGAAGAAATTAGTAACGGGGCCTAAGGATGAGCGAACTAGGCAAGGAAGCAAAGGGCATCCATAGGAGGATCTCCCCTTTGGATGTACAGAAAATCCTCCTCCCAGAGAGGAAAAGAGAAACATATAATATTGACAGAGAAGAGTCCTGGGACTGATTTCTCTGCCACTGGCCACTGTGGGAACCTAAGTCACTGTTTTCTTATTGGTCCAAAAGTAGGGTTAAACCAGATTACTGTTTAGGTTCCCGAAAACCTCGACATACCCCAAACTATGCTATGCCCAGCTTCCATCAGCTCCCAGCAAAAAATCATTCTAACACACGTTCCTTCCAAGTGAACATTGAGCAGGTCCCATCTGTAGACTTGCTGAAGAGAAGATCATTGACAGCAGAATCATCACCAAACCTGCCAGAAATGAACCCAGCTACACTCTGACACAAGAAAAGTCCAAAATTTTCTCCTCTGCTATGTTGTCTTGTTAAAATAGAACAATAAATTCCATGGTCCAAATCTCTGGCAAGGGAAAAATACCTTCCTTGAAATTAGGAGAGGAAATTCCTCTCCTCTTCCCAAGGCCTATCACAGGGACCTGTAGCTTGCTTGACTCTAGAGGAAGGGACCTGAAGACCTCTTGGGAAGTCTGTGAACCAAGTGCAGCACTATGGGGCAAGGTTGAACCCCAGAGGCAAGGAAAAAGATAAACGGGTAAGAGCCAGACAGTTATCTGGGTCCTAGCTTGGCCTCTGTGGGCTTTTGGACAAATTACTTTGATTCCCTAAGGGTTGGTTGATTCTCCCTCCACACCTCATAGGATTATTGGGAGGGTAACTATGATAGTCATTAGGGCTCTTTATAAGTATTCTGGTAACTATTTTCCTTGCAGCCATTTGGTTAAATTGTACTTTCCATCCCACCTCTCTCCAGCAAAAAATAAAGTATGGGCATGTGATTTGGTTTGCTCATGAAATGTGAAAAGCAGCTTGTGTCACTGCTGAGCAGAAGTTTTAGAGGCTGTGAACAGTTCTTTGTGACTCGTCATGCTCTCTTTCTCTCTGTTTGGAGATTAGCAATGTTACAGATAGTGACTGTCACCCCTGGGTCCCAGAGCACACAGCTGACCTCTGATGGTTATGTAGCATACTGTTGTTGCTCTTGACCACCAACATTGGGAATAATTGCAATAGCAGCATAATATAGCCTATGCATTTTCAACAGGGGCAATATTGCCCCCCAAAAGAACAAAAATCTGTTCTTGAGTTGTGAAAAAATATATAATGGTCTATGGCTCTCCAAAAGACCATAGTACATAAACCAATGTAATAAGGTATATTTGTGGTATTAAAATGTCATGGAGGGAAAGGGGAGTTGGCATGGATTTAGAGAGAGAAAAAAAAAAAAGCCTAGAAAGACTCCCTAAGGATGTAATCATGAAAAAAAAGAAAGATTGAGAAGCATTTAAGCCTGTCCTTGCTTATAGAGTAGCATATAGATAAAGGACCTAGCATAGAGTAAGTTATTTCTGTTTGCCTAAAAGAGATTCAGAGAGAGTCACTGTATTATATACAGTATATTTTATTTCTTTCTCCTGTTGATTATCTTTCTCCCCAGCTCATGAAGGTAGGGAGTTTTTCTATCTTGTTAGTTGCTGAATCCCTAGTGTTTAGGATAACACTAGCACATAGCAGGTGCTCATTAAAACATTTGTTGAAGGAATAAATAAATCATGAAGACAGAAATGACCCCAATTCTCACTAAACTTCCAAGCATAATGAGGTGTCAGTCACATGCTGATGCAGACAGAGCAGGCCACTGCTGCAGCGCATGGGAGAAGGAACTAACCCAGATCTGGGAAGGCTCCTGGGAGGAAACGATATTTAAAGTATGACTTAAGAAATGGAGAAGTTAGACAAACAAAAAGCAAAAATCAAGGGTTGGTGTAAAGTGAATTAAGTAAGAAGAAAAAAAAAAATATTTCAGACCAAAGGAATAGTACAAAGATTGCAAACTGGCAGCTACTGAGTCGGAGTTGGATTTCACCAACGGAGATGTTTTATTTGGCCAGAGTTGACTCATGTTTAAAAATCAAAATTTACATTAAGAACATGTAATTCCAGCCTGTCTTTAAATACTTGAAAGATTTGGGGAAAAAAAATGGCTACATGTGAATAACACTCCAGCTTTCAGTTACATACGGCCTCTAAGGGAGGAGACCACCTCTCATATTGTCTTATGCCCAATTTCTGCCTCCGAAGAAAGAAGAAGTAAAAACTAAAAGGCAGAAATGAAATCTACGAGCAGACAGCCCAGCATCACACCCTGGGCCTGGTAGTTAAAGATCTGCCCCTGACCTAACTGGTTATGTTATCTATAGATTCCAGACATTGTATGGAGAAGCACTGTAAAAAATCCCTGTCCTTTTCTGTTCCGTTCTCTGCGTTCTGGTGCACGCAATCCCCAGTCACGTACCCACCGCTTGCCCAATTGATTACGACTCTCTCACGTGGACCCCCTTAAAGTTGTGAGCTCTTAAAGGGACAGGAATTGCTCACTCGGGGAGCTCGGCTCTTGAGACAGGAGTCTTATCCATGCTTCCGGCTGAATAAACTCCTTCCTTTAACTCAGTATCTGAGGGGTTTTGTCTGTGGCTCTTCCTGCTATACCTCCATTATGGACCTTGAGACTGAAAGACATTGCTTTTTATAACTGTATATATTCCGTTATTTACTTCAAAAAGAATTAGGACACCAACTGATTATATACCACAGCCATGTGTCTATCAACAGCAGCAAAATGAAAGATAGACTGATAGGGCTACAAATTTCAAGCAAAATACACATATGGATTGATGTCTGGAAGAGAAGAACATGCCCATGCAAAATTCTAACCTGCTTTATTCAATATTTTGAAGGCATTTCAGGTTGTCTTTCTTGGAACAGTCTAAATAAAGGCTGAAAGATGAAAGAGCTAGGGTACATTTAAGGAATTGAAAATGTACTCTGGCTCACATATGTTTATTGTAGCACTATTTACAATAGCAAAGACTTGGAACCAACCCAAGTGCCCATCCATGATAGACTGGATAAAGAAAATGTGGCACATATACACCATGGAATACTATGCAGCCATAAAAAAGAATGAGTTCATGTCCTTTGCAGGAACATGGATGAAGCTGGAAGCCATCATTCTCAGCACACAGGAACTAACACAGGAACAGAAAACCAAACACCACATGTTCTCACTCATAAGTGGGAGTCGAACAATGAGAACACATGGGCACAGGAGGGGAACATCACACACCAGGACCTGTCAGGGGATGGGGGACAAGGGGAGGGAGAGCATTAAGACAAACATGTAATGCATGCAGGGCCTAAAACCTAGATGACAAGTTGATAGTTGCAGCAAACCACCTGTGTATACAAGTATACATGTATACCTGTGTAACAAACCTACACATTCTGCAGGTTTGTTATATAAATATATATATAAAAGACTTTCTAGGAAAAACTCACTCTCCTTCCCTCATCCTTATTTGGAAGCCAATGGGTACTGTATGGTGTTAGGAGGGGACTTGAGGACCTATTGCAATTTTAGAGTTTATAAAATGTATCTCTGAAAATCAGAAGAAAAAAAAAAAGAGTGATACAATGGACTTTGGGGACTTGCAGGTAAGAGTAGGACGGGGGCGGGGGATAAAAGACGACAAATACAGTGCAGTGTATGCTGCCTGGGTGATGGGTGCATCAGGATCTCACAAATCACCACTAAAGAACTTACTCATGTAACCAAATACCACCTGTACCCTATTAACTTATGGAAAAATAAAATCAAAAATATAAAAATAAGAAAGAAAGAAAATGTGATCTGGCTAAAACATAATGTGTGACATGGAGATGGAAGATGTAATAAACTCCAAATTTTGAAGGCTTTTGAATACCATTTTTAAAAGTCTGAACTTAGTCCTAACAGCAATGAGAAGCCACTGAAGTGCTTAAAGCAAATGAGTGATGTGTTCCTGTTAGTGTCAAAGAAGACAGATCTGCCAGAATATAAAGAGTAGACTGAGGGCTGAGCGCAGTGGCTCATGCCTGTAATCTCAGCACTTTGGGAGGCCAAGGCGGGCAGATCACAGATCACAAGGTCAAGAGTTCGAGACCAGCCTGGCCAACATGGTAAAACCCCGTCTCTACTAAAAATACAAAAATTAGCCTGGCATGGTGGCACATGCCTGTAATCCCAGCTACTTGGGAGGATGAGGCAGGAGAATCCCTTGAACCCAGGAGGTGGAGGTTGCAGTGAGCCAAGATTGTACCACTGCACTCCAGCCTGGGTGACAGAGCAAGACTCCATCTCGAAACCGAAACAAAACAAAAACAAAAACAAAAACAAAACGAAACAAAAAAAAGAGTGGACTGGTGTTAAATAACACAAGAGGCTGAGTGGCGAATTATAAGACAATTGCAGAAATTCAGGCAAAAGAGGATATTGATCCTAATGAATAAGGGGTGATAATGGTAATGGAGAAATTCTAGAGGCATTCATTTTGTCCTTCATCATTAATATTACCCTCACTTATTTACAGTGCTATGCCCAATAAGACTTACCCCTTCAGATGCCTTTGCAGAGCCTTGGTAACTTCCTAGAACAGTTGTGCCAGTCCTGGACTATTTTCCTGGATATTGTCTGTTAGGTTAAAATAAATAAATCTTTTTATTATCAATATGCATGCAGTGCAATGCAATTATTGAGACACAGAACTGACAGATTTTAGTAGATGTAGGATGGAGACGTACTTTGCAGAATTTTTGTAAGGATTTAGCATAGGGGACCCCAACCTCGGGGCCACTGACCTGTACTGGTCCATGGCTTGTTAGGAACCCAGTCACATAGCAGGAGGTGCGTGGCAGGCAAGCAAGTTTTACTGCCCGAGCTTCACCTCCTGTCAGATCAGTGGTGGCATTAGATTCTCATAGGAGCACGAACCCTATTGTGAACTGTGCATGCGAGGGATCTAGGTTGCACACTCCTTATGCAAATCTAACTAATGCCCAATGATCTGAGGTGGAACAGTTTCATCCCAGAACCATCCCCCGCCACCACCACATCCATGGAAAAATTGCCTTCCACGAAACCAGTCCCTGGTGCCAAAAAGGTTGGGGACTGTTGATTTAGTGTATCGACTACCTAACAATGTCCAAAATAGAAGTAAGCAACAGGTGTTAATTCCTTCCTTCTCTCTTCCTGTTCCTGATCCTAAGGTCAGAAACCACAAATTCTAGTTTTCTTTGAAAGGTATCTAAACTTAAACAGTATACACACAAAGAATTTGGTACTTGGTTGTGGCTGATAGACTAGCAATTTTAATCAATGTTTAAACATGATTTAGACATAGGGAAAGCAATGTTGTAGCAAATGTTTTCAGACACACACATAAATTACAGATGGATTATTCAGGCTAATGCAGCTACAGAAGATAATTGTACCAGGTGGGTTTTATTCTGTGAGATATTTAGCTCTTCCAGTAATTTGATCAGTTTTGACTGAGTCATGCTCAAAGCTGAAACAAACTTTATTTTTGAAGATTTTAGTCTGATTAGATAATACTTTGGGTAATATCTGATCATTGAAGAGAAAGTACAAAGTAGAAAGCAAACACAGAGAACAGAGAAATAGCAAAATAAACAATAAACTATATTACCTTCTCTCTTAATGCAGTTATATATGCAGTTTTATGTAAAGAAGAATAAAAGATTGCTTTTGTAAATTTGTCGTAATCTTCTTTCTGTCTGCTAAGGACAAAGTGTAATAAAGCAAAAATCAATTAAAAGGTAATTATAAATATGATCTCAACTCTGTCGCAAAAGCAACTGCTTATCTATGTGCATATTAAAGAAATCCACGCAAAGAGAGGACTGGAAGGAAATGCATAGGAAGTGATCAGATATTCTCATGGAATGATATACTTTTGTGTAGTTTGCTATATTTCTATATTTCCTGTGATGGCGTTTATTGCTTTCATAATCAGGAAAAAAATTAACTTACTACAAAAATTTTTATGCAGCATTCCTTTGACTTGACAAACAGAGTTGTTTATGGATTTTTAGTCTTGGCAAGCAATTAGAGTAGATTCCATCACTGTTGATATTTATCCCCTCTTCACAAGAATACACAGAAGGGGAGAAAATAGTATATTTCCTATACAAAATGTGGACAAAAGAATACAGTTAAGAGAACTAGAACAAAACCATAGACTAGGAAAGCAGCCAACAATATTAGCTTTGCAAATTTATCTTAATAAACCAATGAATGCTTTGAGTTTGAACCTGTAAAATTATTTATTATTCCAAACCTATTGCTTACAATAAAACAGAATTATAATGTAAAAAAATTTGTGACGAACAGGGTTTATGCACTGTCTTGCTACACTAAGTAGCATATGAATGCTCTTCAGTAACTGGAGCAACCTAGTCAACTATAAATAAAGCATACTATGATGCCCTCAAACCAAAATTCATTCATCTTACTTGAATGAGCAATTCTGTTCAGTGACACTTGACCCCCTACTGTTAACTAATTATGTTTTCCAGAGAAAAACACATTCGCTGAAAAAAATAAGTTGTTCTCTGCAAAGAAATAAGATCTTCCAAGCACATCTCATAAGATGTATTTCACTTTTAGTTTTTTAATCTTTGGCTACAAAGATTTGACACATTATTTCAAAAGAATACATCTACTCATCCAGTGGGAATAAATTCAACAAACAATTGATGAGCAAAGTACTGGCTTAAAAAAAATAAACTAAGTAAAATTTTTTCCCTTGGATAATAAAATAAGAATAAAAGAAGAGACATTGGGTTAAGAACCCTTAGGGCAAAATAAAAACACAATTGATTTCTCAAAAACTTGCTTTTGACATGTCAAAAAGAGTTATGCTAGGGAAATGAGCTAAGAAAGCACATTGTTATTTGTACGTGATAGTGTGACATCCTTGCTGTGTTGAAGGTAAGACCATCTAAAGGTCAGGACAGTACACAGGGACTATAAAAACAAAATGGAAATAAAAAGCAGGATAATAAAATGAAAGGAAAAGTAGAAACTGCCAGAAAGAAGCAGCACAACTGTCAAGGAGACAGTGTAAATTCAGATGCCATCAAGTTTTACCACAAAGAGATAAAGGAAAAGGCCAATTTTGATGACAAATAACAAAGTGTAATATCCAAAGAGTAGCGGGGAAGAGAGAGGTCGTATGTCCTCCTGTGAACATTTGAATAGTTCTCAGATGCACTTAGTTTGAGCAAAATTATGTGATTGCTGAGTTCTTCCCTCTCTGCTTGGCAAAAATGATGGAAGTCTTGTCTCCAGTTTTAACCCTATTTGCTTTTCTGCAACAATATGGCAGGTTGTTTACATGCTGGGTGGGGAAAGGGAAACTAAGAGTAAAAACCAACCATTTGTTACTTTGCAAAATGGAAATGTAACTCTGAGGACTAAGCAATCTTGACTGCTAACAAAATTAATTCCTGAACACTATGAAAAAGGAAAAAATGCATAGAAATTGATACTTTAAACATTAAATATTCAGCTGGTTCTCTTATTTGGCAAAACCTTTTTGAAGCAAAGCTGATCTCATTTTGGTTTAGATCACACCAAAGAATTTCCACCAAAAATGACTGAATTACTGCTATTTACTAAAATGGTTTTCATTCTGTGACATTTTTCTTTCAACCAAAATTGGTGTACTAAAAGTTATTTTTGGCACTGACCATCTAGAGTTAGTGCAGGATCCATAAGTTAAGGGCTTAACCCTTCACAAATCTTCCCTTACTTCAGATTCCAGCTGTACTTTGGGGGTCTCCAGGTCACCCACACTTCTGAACAACTAGCTATAAATTTGGTGATTCCCATGACCTCTTAGGTTCAATAATTCACTGGAACAACTCAGACTCAGGAAAGTGTAGTACTTAGGATTAGAGTTTTATTATATAGGATACATTCTGGATCAGCCAAATGAAAAGACACATGGGGAAGGTCTGGGAGGGTCCCTAGTGCATAACTTCCTTATCATCTTCCCATCAAATCAAGTCATGGCACCGTCCCAGCACATGGATGTGTTCACCAACCAGGAAGCACCACTAAGCTTTGGTGTTCAGTTTTTATTGAGGTTCCATTAGGTAGGCATATTTGATTAAATCATTGGCAACATGACTGAACTCAGCCTCCACACCTTGTCCTCCCTGGAAGTCAGACTGGATCAAAGTTTCAAGTTTCAACCCTCTTATCACATGATTGGTCTTTCTGGTGACCAGCCCCTGTCCCAAAGCTATCGAATAGCCCACCATGAGTCACCTCATTAGCATAAACTCAGGAGCCATCCAGGAGGCTCAGGAATAACAAAACAACTTCTATCTCTCCGGAAATTCCAAGGGTTTTAGAAGCTTCATGTCAGAAACCTGGGGCAAAGACCAGACAAATCCTCTATTATGTAGCAGATATATTAAACCAAGAATGGCAGAATGACATAAAACCAACAAATATTTAAACGACTAATAAGAATTCTGTGTTTGTTATTTGTAGTATACATCTGAAGTATGAAAGTCATAAGTCTGGTGTAGATCACACAAAGATGTTGTGACTTGAATGTGTACCTCCAGGGTAAAAAAGCATTGATTCTATCCTAAGGAGGATTTACTTGGGCAAAAGACAAAGAGAAAACTGTTTTCTCATGAATACACTCACTTTCTATTTCAATGCCCTCCCATTTACCTAAATTTCAGTCTTGCTTATAGGTTCCAGTCAACTCTTTCTCCAAAGGTGTTAAGTTCAATAAACATTTATTGAGCAACTTCGATGTACAAAGCACCATGTACAAAGATCCCAGTCCTTACAAACCTGTCATTCTAAACAAGATGACAATCATGTTGAAAATTAAGTGACACGACAAAGGTGGAAACAAAATACTTTGCAGTGTTTGAAACATAAGCATTTAATGAGACAAATCATGGGGTGGCCAGAGGGAGGAAGCACTTCAAAAGAGTCTTGAAGAATGAGTAGGATTTCAGAACAGGATGAAAAGTCAAGAACTCTACCAAGCAGAGATGCGAAGACCCAGGAACCTGAAAACATGTTTGGTGAACCCACATGGCTGCAGTAAAAGGCATATGGCTGGGTATATTAGGAGCTGAGGCTAAAGAGGTGATTGAGGCCTTATCATGGGGTGCTGTAAATTCTTTGCTGAGGAGTTTGAATGTTCTTCTTCAAGCAATGGAAAGCCGCTGGAGATTTCTGAAGGAGGATACTTTGTTGTGTCTCAAATTCCTCTTCTTTAAGTCTCCAGGAACTCATAGACAAAAAGTGAACCAAAGAGGATATTATATAAATAATCCAGACAATAAATGGCACGGTGCTGTGGTACTGAATACAAAGCAAGAATACCAAAAAAGAGAACAGAATTTAGTAATGGATTGTGAGAGCAGAAACAGAAGTTGAGGATGATTTCCAAACATCCAGCCTGCCTGACTGGGAATATGGTGCCACTGAAAGAAATGCAGAACCATCTTAGTCTACTCAGGCTGTTATAACAAAATACCATAAACTGGGTGCCTTAAGCAAGAAACATTTATTTTTTACAGTTTTGGAGGCTGGGAAATCCAAGATCAAGATCTTGCCAATTTAATTCCTGGTAAGGGCCTAATTTTGGGCCCACAGATAGCCATCTTCTTGCTATGTCTTTACATGGAAGCTAGAAAGACAGAGAGAGCGAGCCCTGGTCTCTTTTTATAAGAGCACTAATCCCACCCCAAGGACCCCACCCACATGACCTCATTTAAATCTTATTACCTGCCAAAGGCCTTGTCTTCAAATACCATCAAATGGTGGGCTGGCGCTTCAAAATATGAATTTTAGAGGGACAAAATTCAGTCAACAGCAGGAACCCAGAAGGAGGAGGATTGGAATGGAAGATGAAGGGCTTAGTTTGGACACACTGAGTTTGTGGTTTCTTCTCATTACTCAAGTGGCAATATCTAGCTGGCAGCTTGGAGATAAGGAGTAAACAATTTTAAAAAGAGATCAGAGTTCAAGTGTTGTGCCTTCCTGGATATATAAATTTTGGTAGACATTTCTCAGAATGCAAAACCTCATTACCCAAAGGATTAAATATCTAATGGGAGTGGCTACCTACACTGTCTATGTGGTATTATTTGAAAAAGATAAATTCATCCTTACTCATTATAAAGAAAAGTGTGAGGGCTCGGGAGTCAAATTGTTTGGATTGAAACCCTTGCTGTTCTTATTACCATCTGCATGACCTTACATAAGCTACTGAAACTCTTAGTGCCTTAATTTCTTCATGTATAAAATGAGCATAGTAATACCCTTCTTACACAGTTGTTGGAAAAACAACTTACTGGGACGGCCTTACTGGGACCGCCTGCTCTGCCCAGGAATCTGTCTGCCTCCTGTGGCTGTTCATGACATCCAGGCTCCCCCTGACTTTGCTCTGAGACCCCAGCAGGTGTCCACAGGAGGGAGAAGTTAGGCAGTGGGAGGAGGCACTTCTGAGCATCCAAAGGCATTGGGGCCTTCCTGGGCTCCCAAGAGAGCAGAGATACCTGTGCCTACAGCCATGTGGCTGGAAGCGGGAAGCCCAGGTCTACAGCTTTAGTTTGGGTGGCTGCAGCTACACCCGGGAGGGCAGGAATCCTGCCTGTTCCCAGTCCCAAGAGCACAGGGAGGCTTGGACACGCAGCCCCAACTTGGGTGGCCACAGCCCTGCCCAGGAGGGCAGGGTCTTCTGCCTGCTCTGTGGAGCACAAGACCCAGGTCTGCAGCCATGGTTTGGGAAACTGCAGTGGCACCCAGGGAGCTCCCTCCGCAAGTCAGAAAAGGTGGGTCTCCCACTTGTTCCCAGCTCCCGTGGGCTCCATGGAGCATGCAGTCCCAGTAGTGTCCCCCTGCTGCAGCCAGCCAGCAGCAGGCCGTCTGGAGTAGTTGCTGCCATCATTAATTTAAGAACTAGTAAAACTGTAATTAAAACATCAAGGTACCACGAAGAGCTTTAAAACAGGAGAGATGGTAGGGCATAGTGGCTCATGCCTGTAATCCCAGGACTTTGGGAAGCTGAGGCGGATGGATAACCTGAGGTCAGGAGTTCAAGACCAGCCTGGCCAACATGGTGATACCTCATCTCTACAAACAATTAGCCAGGCATGGTGGCGGGTGCCTGTAATCCCAGCTACTCGGGAGGATGAGGCAGGAGAATCGCTTGAACCAGGGAGGCGGGGAGGTTGCTGTGAGCCGAGATTGGGCCATCGCACTCCAGCCTGGGTGACAAGAGCGAAACTCTCTGTCTCGTAAAAAAAAAAAACCAGGAGAGATGTTGTCAGAACATCTCTCCTTCTAGAACACTACACTTCAATTTCATTTAGCTTTTATTGCAGTATATAACACTCTGGATATAAATTATTCAGAATTCATATTTTTGAAATACCAGAACCAAAATATTACCTCCCCCCAAAATATTGATGGTTCAATAACAAATAGCACTATTTACCATAATTCTAAAGCCCAGCATTGCCATCACCCCAAGCACCCTCAGCATGATTCCCAAGGTGTCTCTGACTTGGCCTCCATCTCTCTCTTCAGCTTCAATTTTTATCACTCTTTTTTACTCTCATCACTCAGGGATATTGAGATACATATAATTCCTGGATATGTCACACTACTCTTACTCATGCTATTCCCTGTCTAGAATGCTCATTTCACATCCACCTCTTTATTCTCCTAATGCTACTCATCTTTCAAGGTAGACTTTGGGCATATCTCTTTGTAAAATCTTGCAGGGACATGTTTTCCAGGCTGCACTGGGATGCCATCATAGGATATATTATACCATAAAGTGGTCACTGGTTCATTTTTCTGCCTTTCCCATTAGGCCATTCGTTAGGCCTTGAGATCAAGAACTCTGTTTCATTCTGCTTTCTCCCTCCAACACCTAATAGTATATGGCACGTGACTGCATGTAAAAAATAAAAGCGTGTCCAACTGGTTAATTAACTGACTTCTCAATACTCAAATAAACATTCATGAGTGATTAATATGTAAAACAACACCCCCGAATGTTCTGCTCCTCTAAAGTGTGCTGGCACTTGTTATTTAAAGATCTATTTAAAGGGCCGTGTCTAGACTGGCCAAAGAAGGTAAGAACAAAAAAGACTAAATGTAATTCCTCCCAAGAAATGTGATCTGTTTTAAAAACAGTGCTATGGACCAGTCCCAGGACAGCAAATTAGAATAGAGCATCTTCTCATGAATCACCTCACTAAGATGATTATCTCTGAAGGACATGGAAGGAAGTTTATTTGAAATGAAAACACTGGAAAATGAGAAGCAGAAGAATTACGTAGACATGGCTAAACAAGCAAAGAATGCTGAATACTAAAGAGATAATTTGAGTTTGGCATTAAAGCATAGATAGTCCATGCTTTTGAAAGAATAAATGTGATCAAAGGGATTAAAAGAAAGATGACTTGGGCAGAAAAATCTTGAAGGCATTAAACTAGAAATTTCATTTGTTCAGACTGTACCATATTTTCTTTGAGAATGTAAGTTCCTAATCCCATAACTGTTTTTATTGAACACCCACAGCAAATGAGGCTTTGTTCAGCTGTGTCTAACAAAGCACCAGTGTAAATCATTCAGCAAGCATGGCCAAAGGATCACCGTACTAGCAATTACTTGGGCTTTCCTTTCGTTCTCATTTGTAAGGATTAAAATGTTAGAAGCATTATATCTAATAAATTTAAACCTGACATACGTATGCTAGGTCCAGAAGAATCTATTATAAAACATAAAACATGCCCCAAATAAAACTGTTTGGCCCCTTGCAGTATTTTCTGAAGCATTTGCAAACACATCCAATCTAATAATAGGGTATAAAAATGTTACCAATTTTAAAAGAACACAAAGTCAACTGCTCTATAAGCTTGAACAGAAAAAAAAAAATAGGTCGATTTATTGCACAAAATTTAATTTAGCAAAACCTCATTGCAGCCTCCTGCTCAATATCCAGTAAACTAAAAAATATGCATCACTTTTAATAAGAAGATGAATAGTTTCAAAAAGGGCTATGTCAACAATCACATAAAAACCTATGTAAATGTAGCGTTTGTTGGAGCTAACAAAATATTGATAAAGGAACCTCTAATAAGAACTATAAAATTGAGAGCTAAGAGAATGCTTTAAAAAGCATAAGCATAAAAAATGCTTATGATTTCTGATTTTTGGGAGATAAGTCAAGAAATTCTGATTCATTTTAATATTTTTGAGAATTTTTTTATGTGTCTGACAGTTCACCGTCATTCAGGGTTTATTTCTTCACTCCAAAACCTAACATTTTGGAGCACCTACTATATGCCAGGAATTGGATGAACACAATGAAAGACGTGCTCTTGGGGAGTTCACACCCTAACAGTGAAACTGATACGTAATTAATTACTAAACTGAGGGACCATTTTAATGAAAAGGTGTTGGCCAAGAAAGAGATCATTTCTCCCCAGTGGCATTCTGGAGGAACTGATAACTAAAGAATGACTTTAGATAGGAAAGAAGGGGATGGGCCCTCCTAAAAGTGGAAACAAATACTATATATCACAACTAGATTATCAACTCATTGAGGGCAGAACCCACCTTTTACTTCTTTATATAATTTATATTGCATAGTATTTTTTTAATAATGATATCATGGATAGTTCTGCCTTGCCAAGCTTAGGTGACTTGGAATTTGGAAAACTAGAGACATCAGATGAAAGAAAAATAAACGAGAAAATAAGAAATTAAATTTTTACAAAGTTGAAAATAATCATTAATATGCCTTAATAAGAAAAAAAGAAAACAGAAGTAACCACAGGGTGGATAGAAATAATTCTCAAACCAAATACTCTTTTCCAATTGCACCGATTCATGTGCCTCATAACTCATAGCCATTAACTACTAGTGTGTCCAGAACTGGTTCCTTCTGGGGGATTCTTGGTCTCCCTGACTTCAAGAAGGAAACCATGGACCCTTGTGGTGAGTGTTACAGTTCGTGTGTGTGTGTGTGTGTGTGTGTGTGTGTGTTGCAGTTCTTAAAGATGGTATGTCTGGAGTTTGTTCCTTCGGATGTTCAGATGTCTCCGGAGTTTCTTCCTTCCAGTGGGTTCACAGTCTCACTTGACTTCAGGAGTGAAGCCGCAGACCTCTGCAGTGAGTGTTACAGCTCTTAAAGGTAGTGCGTCCTGAGTTGTTTTGTGTTACAGCTCTTAAAGGTAGTGCGTCCTGAGTTGTTTGTTCCTCCGGGTGGGTTTGTGGTCTTGTTGACTTCAGCAGCAAAGCCGCAGACCCTCGCAGTGAGTGCCACAACTCACAAAAGCAGTGCAGACCCAAGGAGTGAGCAGCAGCAAGATCTATTGTGAAGAGCGAAAGAACAAAACTTCCACAGGGTGGAAAGGGACCTAGACAGGTTGCTGCTGCTGTCTTGGGCAGCCAGCTTTTATTACCTTATTTGGCCCTACTCACGTCTTGCTGATTGGTCCATTTTACAGAATGCTGATTGGTCCATTTTTACAGAGTGCTGATTGATGCATTTACAAACCTTCAGTTAGACACAGAGCACTGATTGGTACATTTTTACAGAGTGCTGATTGGTCCGTTTACAAACCTTTAGCTAAATACAGAGCACTGATTGGTACGTTTTTACAGAATGCTGATTGGTGCGTTTACAAACC